TGGCTTAAATCTCAGGCCGGGCGCGTGTGCGTGCGTGCCCAAGATCCCGAGAGGAGAATGGAGGAGAAGGGTTTGCGGCGTGACCATCCCCCCTGGGGGGTGATTTCTCGCTTTCTGTCTCTATGTCTCTCTCTGTCTGTCTGGCGAGCGCACGCGCCCTATAGCGAAAACCTCTCCAAAAAAAAAAAAGAAAAAGGAATATAAGCTTGAGTACCTCCCAACTGCTGAATATCACCTCTATCCTTCTGATAAACTTGCTATGCAAAGTCCATTGTGACAGGCAATGGGCATGTTGGCACCTACAGCAACAAAGATAGACATAGCCCTGCCTTGCTCAGAGGAAAAACCCAACTTCCTGCCTGGTATGTTACACTTAGGTTGGTCTTTCTATCTTATCACTGTTAATGGCCCTCACATCATTCCATAGTCATGGCTGTACCATTTTACACTTACGACTTACCCATTGCATAAAATATTCAATACACAGGAGGAAATTTGTGAAATTAATTTATTTAATAATTGTTCCTGCATTCAGTAATTATTTTTAAGCAGCTGCTATGTGAAACAATTATCTCTTTCAGATGGTTTTGTGTGTATTTCTACCCAAGTGCCAAGTGAAGATTTAGGATTAGTGACATTCATTTTTTTATAACTTTATGGTTCTGTCTTGATTATTATTTCAAAAATTTTAGATATAAAAATAGATTTATAAGAATAATTTTTTAAAATACTTGTAAGGGAACCAGCAGTTGGCATAATGGCTATGTTGCTGAACTCCCATGTAGTCGACCGCAGTTTGAGTCCCGGACCCGGTGACTTAAACTGATGCCGGGCGTGTGTGCGTGCGTGCCCACGATCCCGAGAGGAGAATGGAGGAGAAGGGAAACAGTGGCTCTATATGTTTGTAAGGATCTCTGCCTCCAGAAGGAAAGAATAAACCTTTTCCCTGATTTGGCCAATTAAGTGCAACTAAAAGTCCTAAATGTTACATTTCTTAAAAAAGGAAAAGGAAATCTAAAGGGTGAAGAGAAGGAAGCAGATTATCTAGGAAGCTCTGTACCCAAGTTCCAAGAAAATGGTGGGTTCTTAGGTTTTCTTTGGGCCTTATGTATCCCAGACTTGATATTCAAGAGACCAGAAACCCAGAAATGTCAGCCCGCATGCACACGTCCACACGCACTCAGAAACATTTGTCATTCGCTAGTCAAATGACAAGGAAAGGGCAGCTTAACAAGACAGAAAACCAAGACAATAGCCATTTTCATTCATCCATTCAACCATGCATAAAAGGAAAAAAAAAAAAAAAACAGTGGCTCTATTCTCACCCAAGCCAGCAAAGCCCTAGTGGAGAATCTACACTTCTGCATTCACCAGGTATGAAAGGTTCCCCCGAGCTCCTCCCAGACATCACACCTGCAGCATCACTGGACGGGATGCAGAGAGCCTGCACCTCTATCCCCACCCAGCAGTAACAAAGAGGCCTCCCTACAGCGTGGGGTGGAGCCAGCTCAGGTGGGTGGAGCGTCAGGACTTTGCCCAGCACCCAGCAGTCAGGAGGCCACTTCCTCACCCCACCCTGGTGTCAGTGCCCGACGCGTGGTGGCAGTTCTGCCTCTCCCAGCTAGAGAGTTACCAAAGGAAGCTCGGTGGAGCTGGACCCCGGCTGAGGCCCGGAAGGAAAGAGGAGCCTGGCCCACGCGTGTTTTAATACCGGGCCAATTAAAAAATACGGCTTCTCCTTCCACTTGCCATTACGTCTGCCCATCCTTCTCCTCCCAGAGGAATAGCAGAGAAACCCAGCTAAAATGGAAGGTTTAAATGAGGTCTAGAGTCTCATAGCATAAGACTCAAAATGTCTGTTTCACCTGCAACTTATTGGGTTGTTGGAAAAGTCATGACACATTTTTCCATAGAAAACCAGAAAAATACGTCATGACTTGCCTAAGGACCTGATATGTATTATTCCAAAATTCAGAAAAATTTCAAATGGAATGAAAAATAACACTCAGTAGATCTCAACACCAAGACAAGCAAAGGCCACATCCATAGGCCACAGAATTTAACTCAAAATGGGTCATGAACTTAATCACGGTACGTAAAGTGATAAAACGCTGGGGGAGCAATATAGAACTGGGCGGGAAGTCAGGCAACCCTTAGTCAAGTTTGAATCTGTGATCGCAATCGTCTGATAGGTTGAGCCAGTGGACTGACTCTCTCTTCAGTGAATTAAAACCACCCACAGAGGCAAACGCACCCCTTTAAACCTTTTACACACACGAGGAGTCAGACTTGAGCCCTGTTAAGTTACTGTCTTCCAGTTCAAACAGCCACCCTTCACTCCGCTTTGAGAGGGGGGCTGGGTCTCTGCTAAGCACATTTCTTTGTGGTCATCTGGCTTCCAGTTTCTGTTGATGGAGAGCGTAAAGAGAGCATAGACCTGCTTCCTGTTATGAGGGTCACCCTACACGATGGGTTCCTTTTTTTTTTTTTTTTTTTTTTTTTTTTTTTTTTTTTTTTTTTTTGAGAGGTTTTTGCTATAGTGCATGTGCGCTCGCCAGAAAGACAGAGAAAGACGGAGGGACAGAAAGCAAGAAATCACCCCCCAGGGTGGATGGCCACGCCACAATCCCTTCTCCTTCGTTCATCTCTTGGGATCTTGGGTACGCACTCACACACACCTGGCATGAGTTTAAGCCACCGGGTCCGGGACTTGAACTGTAGTCGACTACATGGGAGTCCAGTGACATAGCCATTACGCTAACTGCTGGTCCTAATGGGTGCCATTTTGCACCTTTTCCCGACATTCCCAGAAACAGTCAAAGTGCCCTTCCCTCCCAGGGATAGAAAAGCACTAGCTTAGTCAGAGATGTGAGCTCCGCTCTGCTGGTGGCCTCCCTTCCAGTTCTGCAGGACATCACACAACTGAGCAGTGTCCCTCAACAAATTCCGTCCTAGCTCCGTGGATTCCCCAATCCCAGTTCCTGCAGAGCAAGCCTCAGCTTGCTGGCTGGAGATGACTCACAGCTCTGTGGAGTTCCCTGCTGGGCTTCTGAAGTTACTCTCTCTTTCAGAGAACATCCCCATCTAAAGACTCCTGAATTCCAGGTCTGCAAAGCTCCATTCTCCAGTTCTTTAAATTCAGCTCATCTCAGACTCTTGCCCTTTGTCCCGCAGCCAGGATAGCTACTTTCTGTAGTTACCACCACTACATTCCTGAGTCTCTTTTTGTCTTTCCAATTCTCCAAAAACTAGCTAGCGATCCTTAGACAATTCTGTCTATTAAAATAACTAGCAGGGTTTCTTTTTCTTGAATGTAACCCAGCTGACACAAGTAGTCCTGTAGCAGGAGTTGAAACTGATTAGAACCAAAGTGGCCAGAGTGTTGTATGAAAAGCCATGTGCAAGGCAAAACCACGAAATGAGCAAATATAGGAAGGCTACAAAAAAATAACTGGAAGCAAAAAGAAGAATGGAAAGTCTCCTTTCTCAAGAGAATGATACAAACATATAAAAAGCTTCTAGAACTGCCTCTTTTTCCTCCTTGTAGGCCACTTCTCTTTTAGTTCCAGCCCACGTGTGTTGCTAGAATAATTTTCTGTTTACTAGAGTTGTTCAAGTGGGTCTTTCTTCACTGTAAACAGAAGCACGTAGCTGAAACAACATCCTTTCCTTTGTCTAGGTGGAGAGATTACGCTTGGGAGTAAAGAAGGGAGACAGTCGCATGAACTTTCAAAAAGAAATGAAAAAGCTGCAAGTTTTATATCTCTTTTTGGTCAGGGGCCTCTTGAGTTGCCCGTGCCTTCTCTTTATCTCACCATCGCCTCCTCATCTTTGAAGAACACTTTGCACCCTGCAAACACCTCTTCCATACGCATGACGTCATGTGACTCTCACACCACAAGGGTTTCCCTCACGGATCTTCTGGTTGGTCTAATGCACATCATGCCATTGCGTTGACGAAGGAAAGAGGGGTTGCCTTCTGGAAAGATCTTGAGTTAAAGATCTTAAGATGGCAAGTGTACACACAACCTTTAGAGACCTAGATATTAACAGGTAGTGCATGAGCACCTCCTCCTACCGCATTCCAGCTTCACCGAAACTCTTTCTACGTTGCCCCTAACATGGCATGAGTGGTTCAGGTGGTCATCGGTGAAGACCACAAACGTGAACTTCTCTTTGCCATGATGGTGCTTGAAGTCTCTGTGATCTAACTTTTTTTTTTTTTCTCTTTAATACAATGGAATGCCACAGATGAACAAACAAATGGCTTCCGCTTGACGAAGCTGGGTGGGATCCTGTTTCTAGGCCCCGTTGCCATGACTCTTGGTGGCCTAACCCTGAGCTACAGGGGAGGCGCAGCCCTTAGCACTGGCATACACAGGGCCACGTGTCTGGTGCCCCTTGGGTTTTCATTCTTCCCCCACCGATTCCTTCAGACAAGTCCACCTTTCCCAAGAGCCTCCTGGGAAGCATTTCCATGTTGTCGCCATGCCAAGCTTTGCCAACTCACCCGGTTTTCAAAGGCAAAATGAAAAACCAGCACGCTTCCCAAACGCTTTGTTCCATATTAATGACCCAGCCGCTGCCCCCGTTTGAAAAGATGAGGGGAGCATCACCATTTGTCTGCTGCTTTCGTTCGGAATCCCGGGCAGGCCAATCTGCCACTTTTGGACTCCCAGAGCAGCACACAGAAACATCTGCTCGAGGAGTTGTCTCACTCCCGCCCTCCTGCATAAATCACTACCCTACCCGTAAAACTTTTATGAGATGGGCATTTTTCCCCCTGCTTCCTCCCTGGTAACTGACTGAAATCCAAAGGTGCAAGATGGAATGGCCAGACCTTCAGCCACATGCCGGCATCCACGTGTGCACGCTCGGGAGGGACAAGGCGCTGTCAGCTGGACCAAAGGACCGCTATAATTATCCGAAATGTAATTAACACCCCACAGTCGGTGAATCTTTGACGGATTCTAGCAGCGTTAATTATACCTCTCACTTACCTGTAGCAAATTATCCATAGACCAATTTCTCTGTTTGCGGAGAGCGAATCCCATTAATTTGTTGAGATTCCCAAGGAGTTTCAGGATGTTTCCATATTGTTCATCGATGAAGACTCCTCCTTCTCTTCCAGTAATGCCTATATGACGTGAAATAAAAGGTTACGGTTAGGAATATATATGCTCCATAGTGCTCATTGGTTTTAACACCCAGAGCTCACACTGAAAGTTTTTTGACCATTTTATTTATTTATTTTTTGGAGAGGTTTTTGGTATAGGGTACGTGAACTCACCAGAAAGACAGAGAGAGACAGAGAGACAGCAAGAGAGAAGGCCCCCCTCAGGGGGCATGGCCACGCTGCAATCCCTTCTCCTCCATTCTCCTCTTGGGATCTTGGGCACACACGGACATGTGCCCGTCATGAGTTTAAGCCACTGGGTCCGGGACTACATGAGAGTCCAGTGATAGCCATTACGCTAACTGCTGGTCCCAACTTTTATAATTTTTATAATAGAAAGTGATGGGAAGAAAGATTTTCTGTTAACTTTTCCCTGCTATTGCAAACAATGACTTTTTCTCTATTACAGCTACTGTATGTTCAGGCAAATGGTAAAGGCTAAAGAGAAGTTTATTGATTAGAGACAATATAATAGGTCAGAATAAAATTTGCTTGATAGTGCTTGCCATGAGAAGGTAGAAAGGAATTTCCTTTTTATAAATGGGAGAGATTTTTGCTATAGGGCACATGCACTTGCCAGAGAGACAGAAAACAACAAATTAGCCTCCACTCCCACCCCCGGGAGATGGCCACCTCACAATCCCTTCTCCTCCATTCTCCTCTCAGGAATTTGAGCATGCACACACACGTGCCTGGCATTAGTTTTAAGCTGCAGGGTCCAGGACTTGAAATGTAGTTGATTATGTGGGAGTCCAGAGACATAACCATTACGCCGTCTGCTAGCCCCAGTAGAAAGGGATTTAATATCCAAGAAGTTACCAGAGGCCTGGGGGCTGTGCTAGGTTCTTTCATATATGTATATATATACACACACATACACACACACACACATACATACACATACATATATAATAATTACTTATTATGATTTTTCTTTTCATTATTTTATTTTTATGTTTTTTAAATTATTATTCATACATTAAATCGCTCTACATCATTTAGATTGTGAAGAGACTTTACCCAGCATAATATACACCTCAGTCCAGCCCAGCGGAGACCACCATACACGTCCTCGTCAACAGATAATAAACCCTATCTGTGTCCCACAAGTGTTTTTTGCCGGTCAGCATAGCCTTTCCGAGTGCTTCATATCGGGCAGGTGTTTTGATCAGCCTCCTCTTTCCAGTCATCGTGGAGAGACGTGTACGTAGAGCAGGCCAGATGCTAAGACCTGTTAAACTGAATCTTTAGTTCTAATTGTTTTTGACTCCCATGAGAAAGGGGACCATAGCCTATTATCCTGTTTTGTTTAAATAATTAATAGCAGGATATTTTGTACACAGAATCTGGACTAAGACAAAACAAGAGTTACTTGAGCCCTGGGCTACGGCGAATTCCGAGGAAAGACTGACCATAAACTCGATGTTGTGATGCAGCACATCCTTAGGGTCACAATGCTTAACCATACTAAGTACAGTTTGTGGACAGTCATTGTCCTGGACTGACCTCTTGCACTAGGCCCAGTGGACTAAACCAAATGGATTCACTCATGTTAGGTCGAACATAATCAAAAAGTTCAACAATATGGGAAAATTGACCAGACCGGCCAATTTCTACAAAATACAGAGAAGAGTCCCACAACCATTTGAAAAAGGTGCAGTCAGCCAGTATTATAAGAAAGTCCCAGGGAACCAGCAGGTGACATAGTGGGTAAGGCGCTGGACTTCCTCATGGTCTTTGGTGGTTCAAGTTCAGGATCTGGCAGCTTGAAAATCATGCTGGATGTGGGTGCATATGTGCCCAAAATCCCAGGAGGAGAATGGAGGAAAAGGGACTGCAGCGTGGCCATCTTCCCTGGGGGTGACTTCTCACTTTCCCTCTCTCTGTCTCTCTCCAGAAAGTACACATGCCCTACTGGAAAAATCTTAAAAGAAAAAAAGTCCCCTTTGCTATCAGCCTTACAAGGAAAGTGACCAGGAGAAGTCTGATGCAAACGAATCCACTCTTTGGTGCTGTGCTGCTTCCTTGTTGTTGCTCAAGCTGCCTGACAAAAACTGTCTATTCCGCCGTGCCCAACAGAACACCTTTCTTTCCACTTTTATACATGGGCTGCTGCCAATTCGTGAGTTGCTAAAAAAAATCCAATTAGATGATCAAACTCAGCGTGGTACTATTTCGTGCTTTGACACAACATCCATTTTCTGTCTTCCATTATATTTGTTTTGGTTCAAAATTTCACATGTCTATTTGGTATTAACAGGGCTTTTTAAACTTAATAACATTATTTCACATGCATCTAAATTATATCACTTATTTAACTGAAAACTCTCTTTCACTAATTAGTTTTTACTTAAAAACAAAACAAAACGAACAAAACAAAACAAAAAAACAGCAGCTCTGGTAGTCTCCCCTGCCCAGCCCATAGAAGGATCATTATGATGGAAGAAAACATCCTATGGATGCACTTTTTTCCAAAAATAGCCGGTCATAGAAAACTTTCTGCTTCTCATATTGATCAATCCCATCTCTTTTGAATTACACCCAACTGTTTGTGTGACTTCCTACAGCCAGTTAAGAGTCATCAAAAGTACTAATTAGAAAGTCTCCCCAGTTTTCAAAAGTCTCATCTTAATAGAATACTTGTCTGAGTACTTTCTCATTTCCCATCACAAAATCTGCTCTCTTATGCATTCGAACCTTTGCTTAAGTAAAAGTGATGGCAGAGGTGTCAACATGCTTTGGCATGCTGTATGAATAAAAACCCTTTGTTAAGTTTGTCTCAGACTCAGTTTTGCTCCTTGTTATTCTGTGGTGGTATAGGAAGTCCTGTTAAAATCACCTGCACCCCTAGAGGAAAATGTCTATACTTGTTCAGCAATTTGGAGACCCTCCCTAGTACCTGGCTAGAAAACATAGTAAAACTGACTGAAGACAAAAACAGAGGAGAAGAAAATAGAAGAGAAGCAAAAAAGACCCTGAATTGCTCAAGGGATGAATGCAACCAAAAAAGTAGACCAAGCCATTGCTGGAACTCCAATTTCAAGTCTATTCATTAAGCATCTACAAAATATACAAGCTACCGCTGCCTTTCATGTCATGAAATAACGATTTACGGGAGGTCCACTATCCATGAGGGGCCAGTTCAGTGATTTGCATGTGTTACCTAATTTGTCATGGAGAAACTTGGTGCCTCGTTGAAAAACTATGTATTGTATTCAGCACACCCTTCTGTTTATCCAATTCTGTCTCTATGGAAGAATTTAGAATTCTGTAAATTGTAAATAACTGATAGCAGTGCAAAATTATGTTTCTCTGTAGACAAATTTTCTGTCTGGGAATCATTCAATTGACTTCCCTCCCCACTGTGGAAGAAGCTAATTCTGTCATCATTTGCACATTCATTTCAATATTCTTCATCTGTAAAGTGTGTCTTTATTTTGAATTTTCCTTTGAATTGATCATAACACTCCTGGTTCTCTCATTGATAAATGAATTATGAAAAATCCTTAACATTTATTCACTTTATATCTTTCTGAGAGTCATAATTTTACCTTTTTTGTTAAATGAATTCAGACTGTTCTTTTTTAAGCTTTTTGTCATAGGGTGCATACACTTGCTGGAGAGAGAGAGAGATAGAGATAGAGAGAGGGAGAGTGAGAAATCACACCATCCCATCCCCTCCAGGGGGAATGGCCACACAGCAGTCTCTTCTTCACTCCACTCTTGAGATTTTGGACATGCAGACACATGTACTCAGCATGATTTTCAAGCTGCTGATCCAGGACTCAAACCACTGTCAACCATGTGGGAGTCCAGTGCTTTAACCACCACACTACCTGCTGGCCCCACTCAGACTATTCTGTACAACAATATGGAGGATAGACAATGTTAAGTAAATGTTACAGAGGAAGCTTAGCAGAGCCTGAGGGCCACAAACCCCCACTGGGCCTTTCCTGACAGACACCATGGTCTATGCTGGGGCTGCAAAGCTGAACAAGGTCATCCCTTTCCTCAAGGACAAGAAGATAAGGGTCAATTTCTACTGAGGGTTGCTCGGCTGTAAGGTGCTTCCATAGAGATACAGGAACTAAACCCACTTCATAAATCCTTCTATCCCAAATTCACTAGCGATCTAAAATACTGAACTCAAATAGATTCAGCATTATATGGCTTACTATCTGAACTCAGAAATCTTGCTAACTACATTCAAGAACCAAATAGATTTGTATGGGGAGAGATAGTTGATTGCTATCTTTTAATCCTTAAAGTCACCTCATGAGCTAGCTTCTTCCCGTGTTTTGTAGATAAAAAAATGTGGCTCAGAAAAAGTATGTTTTTAAAAAGTCATAACATTTTAGAATAGGAAGAGATAGAATCACACAGCCCAGTGTCCTCATTTTAGATAGCAGAGCTAACTCCGGGAGACAGACTGGTCCCCTAGAACCCCAGGTGCAACAGGGAGCAGGCTAGACTCATCACCCACAGCTTTTACCTTCTGCTGCATCCTCCACTTACCTGGGCCCCTAATGAAGGAGAACGGACTGCCTGTCAGTCAGAACCAGTGAGCGGGAGGGGTTCAACTTCTTAAAATGTGTTCAAGGTCAGAGCCAGTGGATGACATGGTGGTTAAGGTGCTGGACTCCCACATGGCTGACTCAAGGTTCAAGTCCCGGACCTGGTGGTGTGCTTTCTTGCTTTTCCTCACTGTCTCTCTCTCTCTCTGGTGAGCCCACATGTCTATACTAAATGAAGATAATAATAATAAAAATAAAATTAAATAAATAATTCTTACTCCCCCCAAAAAAACTTGTTTAAGGTTTTGGGACCAGCAGATGTTGTGGTGGTTAAGGCGCTGGCCTCCCACATGGCTGACTGCAGTTTGAGTCCAAGACCTTGCAGCTTGCATTCTCAATTTCTCTCTCTCTCTCTCTCATCTCT